TCAGGTGGGATGCTGTTACGTGCAGCAGGCTTCTCCTGTGCACCCCACCTTCTCCTATAAAGCCCCTCCGATATGCAGCCTCTTCCACCGGGACTGTCACGGCGGCAGCTCTACCTTGACTCTGTAGGAGACAGATGAGGAGGAGGCAGCCAAGGAAAAGACACTGACATGTTTCTGCCACAGATGCGGGGCGCCGGCTGCCTCTCGACTAACAAGCCGGAGAGAGGGAAGAGTGGAAAGTGTTACTCATCTTCAGAGACAAGCAGCAACTGACACTTCGCGTTTAATAAAGGAGAACTATTTGATTGCCGGCTGGATGCCAGGAATCTTGGCGCTCAAAAGGTTCCTGAGCCGGACCGTAATTGGTTCCACATCTCACAAATCACACAAACAGGCCTTCCTGACACTCTCCATCTTGCCCCCCCCCCCCCCCCCAGGTCCCCCCCTTTTCTTTCTGGCCCCAAACGTATGATCCAAGCCGCCCGCACCCACAGTCGAATTTGCAGGCCTGCCTCTCTTGTGCCAGGAAACTGCCAGGGGAAAGGAAATCAACAGGGATACGGGCAGATATTCACACCCCTCTCCACCACTGTTCCCTCTAAGCTGAGTGTGAGCCAGCTCACAGTTTTTTAGCCTCCGGCTCACACATTCTTGTCTCAACTCAGGAAGGAGGGCTCCAGAGCAAACCTGTTTAAATTGCTCGCTCACAACTTTAATGCCAGGAGCTCACAAAGTGGATTTTTTGCTCACAAGACTCCACAGCTTAGAGGGAGCGTTGCCCCCCCCCCCACCCCGCAAGCCAACACAACAGGCTGGACAAAAGATGCAAACCAGCAATGAGCAGAAAAGCGCCACCATTTCAGACATGCTCATCTTCCAGACAAGGGGAGGGAAGAGATAGACTCTGAACGCCCAGCCAGGTTTTCAAAGGCAGCAGGTCAACAAGGAACGCGAAGCCGAAAGCTGACCTGCTCTAACCGGAAATGTCCAAGGTTGCTTCAAAGCACTAACACCTGGCTAAACTCCACCCTCCATAGTGGGGGGGCGGGAAGAGGTCAAGCAGTCATGAGTGAAAGGAGAGGGGGAGACAGAAACCTCAGCCATCGGGCAGGGAAGGAGGAAATGGGAAACCAAAGCAGGAGTTTTGCCTTCCCTTGAAAAATCCAAATTGATGTTAAATATTTTACCAGATCACTGTAATAAAATAAATCAATGTGTGATAACATATATGTTAACTTCAGCTCGAATTGTTTTTGCTAAGTATTGGAAACAAGAAAAAATACCCTCAAGAGAAGAATGGATACATAAACTGTTGGACAGCAGAGATGGACAAATCGCCATCGATTGTACAAGGAAAAGATGATGATATATTTAAAGAAAGATGGAATAGACTGTATAAACGGTTAGAAAAGAAGTAATGTAATAGACTCAAAAGAATGGTAACAACTTTATCGTAAGCGATACATCTGTGACGAATGATGTGAAACAACATAAATAAAAATTTGGGAAAAAGAAAAATCCAAATTGACGCTGGAAAGGGAGCAGAGACAGATTTGTCAGAAAAAACACTCCTGACCAGTGTTCCCTCTAAGCTGAGTTAGTGTGAGCCAGCTCACAGTTTTCTAGCCTCCGGCTCACACATTTTTGGCTCAGCTCAGGAAGGAGGGCTCCAGAGCAGCCCAAGCGCTCACTCACAACTTTAATGCCAGTACCTCACAGAGAACTTTTGCTCACAAGACTCCACAGCTTAGAGGGAGCATTGCTCCTGACCCATGCAGATGAAGAGACTCCCCTCCAGCACTCCCCTTGCCCCCATCTGCCCCCCCAAAAAACCTGTATCAAGTTTCTTTTATTGAAAGACACCAAGGGAAGCAAACACAGTCCGTGAGGTCATGCAACTGGCAACTCAGGCTGAAGAGGAATTGTGCACTCAAGTCTGACCTGTTTTTTTTGGTGGTGGGGGGGGGGAGGAATGCAGGCAGCTTGGCCTTGATTTCCCCCTCCCCCACCCCCCAATACTAATCTGGCCTTTACGAGATCCTGACAGGCTCGCTGCCCTTTGTTTTGCCCCTTTCCAATTTCCCCAGCAATTCTGCAGCACACGGCTACAGGCCCGGGGACCAGTTTCAACCAGTGTTCGCACCTGGATCCTCCTCCCTGCCCTGAGGAGCCGTGCCTCCCTCCCGCTGGAAGAGTTCAGGTCAGGTAGCCCTGGCTCCCAGCCCAGAGAAGGGTCCCGATCCAGCCGTCCACAGTTCCTCTCAAGTAGCCCAAACACCTACACCCCCTTGGGTGCGGAAACTATTCAAGCGCGCTCTTCTCATCCAAGGATCCAGACCAGCAACCAGTTGCAAGGACCAGTCGGGGACTTCACCAATTCGACCCAGGAATATGGAACTTCAAACCCAGGAGGGATCTGCCTGGAAAGAAACAGGGCAGGAGGGGCTCCGTTGCACGGAAGCAAATGCTGACAGACAGCTCTCCCCTTTACAACCGTGTCCCAGAAGGAACTCTGGGGCATGCAGTCTCACACAAAGGTTGTGGGGCATGTTACAGCACTAAGAAGGAAGGAGGAGGAGGAGGAGGAGGTGAGGAGGAGGAGAAAGAGGAGGAGAAGAAGAGGAGGAGAAGAAGAGGAGGAGGAAGAGGAGAAGAAGAGGAGGAAGAGAGAAGGAGAAGGAGAAGGAGAAGGAGAAGGAGAAGGAGAAGGAGAAGGAGAAGGAGAAGGAGAAGGAGAAAGAGAAGAAGGAGAAGAAGGAGAAGAACAAGGAGAAGGAGAAGAAGGAGGAGGAGGAGAAGAATGAGGAGGAGGAGAAGAAGAAGAGGAGGAGGAGGAGATTGGATTTATACTCTGCCCTTCACTACCCAAAGGCATCTCAGAGCGGCTTACAGACTCCTTTCCCTTCCCCTCCCCACAACAGACACCCTGTGAGGTAGGTGGGGCTGAGAGAGCTCTGACAGAAACTGCTCTTTTTCAAGGACAGCTCTTATCAGAACTACGGCTTGCCCAAGGTCATCCAGCGGCTGCGAGTGGAGAAGTGGGGAATCAAACCCGGTTCTCCCAGATTAGAGTTCGCGCACTTAACCACGACACCAAGATGAATCTCACGCCAGCCCTCTAAACATCTGAACTGAACTGGGGAAAGTAACCAAGTGCCATACATGTGGCAGCGGACTCCTGAATGAGAAATTAAGCTTTAATTCAGCCTCGTCCGTGCACATTACGGAAGAGTTCTCTGCCACATGCCCCCAGTGTGGAATGGACCACAGGGTGGGTTGATACTGGGAAGGGGGGGGGGCACAGCTCCAGGACCTTCTCCCTGAGTTGCGTTCCCTCGCCTCCTTAGTCCAGTCCTCGAAAGAACCAGCCCGAAACTGACGCTGTGCTTTATCAATCCCATCAGAAGTGTGGCTCCCCCACCCGCCCTTCCGAGCCTCGAGGCAGGCTTCCCCCGAGATGTATATGGAAGCAGAAACCCACGGAGGCGGCTGCTTGCTGGAACCACTCAAGGTCCGGCCAGGGTGGGACCTGTTTGAAGCACCAGACCGGCTGCAGCTGGCCTGGGCCCCAGAGCCAACGCGGACAGCTCTCTCTGGCTGCCCCCCACCCCCACCCCGAGGAAACCATTCCAGTCCTACCCGGGTGTCATTTGCAACTTTCACATTATTCTCTCCATCCAGGGGGCATGTCAAAGCTCGATGTTGCGCTGCTCCACAACTCCCTACGGAAACTGGCTTTGCAAGACGGCGGCTGGAGACAGCAACGGCCTGATGGCTGAGGACGGGTGGGGGGCAAGCCGGGCAGACCCAGGAGGGGAGGCCCACAGAGCCAGATGAGGGGGTGGGAGGGAAGGATAAGGGGGGGTGTCAATGGAGAGCGGCAGAGACCCCCCAAAAGAAAGTGGTTTGTGCAGGTGACCTTTCCCAGCAGCGGATCTTGGGAGAAAGCAGAGGGCGCCTTCTCCTTCTCCAGGAACTGAGAGGATGGATGTGACAGCGGACTCCTGAATGAGAAATTAAGCTTTAATTCAGCCTCGTCCGTGCACATTACGGAAGAGTTCTCTGCCACATGCCCCCAGTGTGGAATGGACCACAGGGGTGGGTTGATACCGGGAAGGGGGGGGGGGGCACAGCTCCAGGACCTTCTCCCTGGGTCACTCAGCTCGACAGTCTGATTTTCTCTGTGGATTCAGGGGACAGGGAGAGAGAGAGAAGACCTACATGGCAGAAACCGAGCAGAAGCAAGAAGAAGAGATGGGATCTATACCCCATGGCCCTTCACGACCCAAAGGAGTCTCAGAGCGGCTTACAAACTCCTCTCCCTTCCCCTCCCCACAACAGACACCCTGTGAGGGAGGTGGGGCCAAGAGAGCTCTTTCCAGGACTGCTCGTGAGAGAACAGCTCTGAGAGAACTTGTGACTGGCCCAAGGTCACCCAGCTCGCTGCATGTAGACGGGGAGAATAAAACCCGGCTCTTCCAGATTAAAGTCCGCGCTCCTAACCACTACACCAAACTGGCTCTCTATCCAAACTGGCTCTCTAAGCTCAGCTTTGAGGGGGATCTCCGGCCACTCAGTATTCAGAGTCTTGGTCATGAGAGCAGTTTCAGAGGGGAGCCATGCTGGTCTTTAGTAGAGTAACTCAGTTCAAGGACAGGAGGACCTAAGAAACCAGCAAGATTTTCAGGGTATAAACTTTCGAGATCTCCATTCTGACTTGTATCTGACCAAGAGAGCTCTGACTCTTGAGAGCTTATACCCCAAAGATCTTGTTTCTCAAGGTGCGACTGGAGTCACATGCAGAATCTGTCCAGCCACTGTGGGTGTTGAGCATCTTGCGTGTCGGACCCCGTCCAAATCTCCACAAAGCTGTGCTGATGAACTCACATCCACATCCACCCAAACTCATTTAGGACACCAAACGGCAATACTTAGTATCTCGGAGAAAAGTCGGCGGGTTCTTTCCCCAATAAGTGATTGCACGCACACAGATACGGTGGTCCAAAGACGGTTCATTTTGCTCTCCAACACATGATTTTTGCCATGTACAACTCAGAGAGGTCAGCTGCCTGGCCTGGAGACGTGCCACCAGCTAAGGTCCTGGCTTGGAAGGCTTCCCCAACGATGGAATTGTAAGTGGAATGGAAAGAAATGTATACAACACAGAGACACACAAACATACACACATGCAAGTCCCAGGAAATCCCAAATCCCCCATTAAGGGGGGGGAATGTGTGTCCCTCTCTCAACCGTCTCAAAAAAGTTAACTCTGTGCAGGAGGCAACTGGCTAAGTTAGGAATCAAGAAAAACGTGGAATGAGTTCTTAAGTCCTCAGGCCGAGGGAGCCAGGTTTGCGGCAAGGCAGCCTCTGCAGGGAAGTCCGGGAGCAAAGAGAAGGACAGGGCTCCTTCCGTCTGCGGCACGGGGACGAGCGTTCTCAGAGTATGCCCACAGAATGGGTCGGGAAAACGTTCCAGGCGTATCATTCCAAAGCTTCGTTGGAAAAGGTCGACAGCTGCCTCAAAGAACAGACAGGGAGGCCCCGAGGACTGGGCAGCGAGGGCAGGAACCTCTACATCGCCTTCGCTTTCCGGCCGGCCATCGCCAGTCCGCTTTTGTGAAGGGCACACCAAGCCGGCTCTGGGGACCAGTGGGAAAGGAAGGAGGAGGAGGTGGGGAGGGGAGGAAAGGTGCCGGAAGGAGTCAGATGCTCTGGAAGTGCTGCCGCAGCCTCGTCTGCAGGTATTCGTGGGTCAGGTTGTGCCGGGTAATGATGCCGACGATCTGGAAGGCAGTGGAGAAGAGGGCGGGTGTCAAAAGGGACGGGTTCGAACATGCGTGACGGCAAGAGAGAGCTGAGAAGGACGGCAAAGATCTGAACTCAGGTTCTCTACTCGTCGGGATGTAGGAAAGTTAGTACATGCACTGTTGGAAATCCGGAGCCCATGATCCACAGGGCTGGTCTAGGATTTGCACCCCTTCCTACTGACCCTTTCAGGGCCGCTTCAGCTGCGGTGAAACAAACCCCCTCGCAGACACTCTCTCGAAACCTTCCGTGGCTGCGGGCTACAAGGTTATGCACGATATCCTGCACACAACATCCCAATGTAGGACAAATGATGCCGAAGGAGGCCTCTCTGTTCATCGAGGTTTTTCACTGTTCCAGGACCCGATAAGCAGACTTAATTATTGACACTTAAGATCCCGACAGGAGTTTGCCAATTGAGATGTGCCAGCTCAAATGATGCCCTGATGATAGTACTTGTGGGTCAACATTAGGGATTTCTTTCTGTATAAACTGTTATGATGTCATTTGGAGTATAAGATTTATTGCCCTTCCTGGTTGGGGCAGAATACAGTTTGGTGTTACTGGGTGCCAAGGTATCCAGTCCTGTATTTTCCTGAGTATTGCAATAAACAGTTATTTATCTAACTCTCTGTACTCCACCTGTGTGTTCCTCATTCGGCCCTGGGAGCAGATTCGTGCATCACCAACAAGACATATTTAGGACTGTGAAGCAGACAAACTATATTGGTTGAAAAGCACACAACCCACTTGTACACACGGAAGAACAAGCCTTGCTGAAGAGGACTCTCAGCACGGCTTTTGCAAAGGGAAGTCCTGCCTCACCATCCTCTTTGCAAACTCCAAGGGCGTCCACAAGCACATAGATCTGGTAGACTCTGCATACCTGGCCCTTCTCAAATTGTTTGACACGGTGCCTGACCCAGGGCTTTTTAACAATGTAAGAGAATGTTTCATGGACTGGTCACTGGTTAAAAGAAGAGAAAGCAAGGGAGCGTTTTGGAGGGCTCCCCCAGGGATCTACACTGGGACCAGAGCAACTGAATTTATTCATCAATGACCTGGAACTGGGGTGGGAGGAGAGAACATTGAGGCAGTGGCATCTACAGACAACACCCAATGGTTCGGAGCAAGGAAAACGTAAAGGGCCCACGGACATCTCCAGAAACACCTGTCCAAACTGGGTGAAGGGGCAATGAATCGGCAGACAAAAAACCCAATGCGAGTACAAAGCAATGCACATCGGGACAAGACGCCCTCAATTTCATGCATTTAGTGATGGGGATCTGAGGTGCCAACAGCAGAGCGTGAGAAAGACTGATGAGCCGTGACATTCCAAGCTAAACCACCTGGAACAGAAATGTGGAAACACGGGCGATGCATTTCTAAAATGAAACAAGATTCCCTCAGTTGCTATACAGCACAGAGGTTTCCTCTCCCCGTGCAAGTTCCTTCGACCCTAACCATTTATAAAGGTCACCACTTTTGTGGGATGCCCAACAAGCAAGCAGGCGTGTGTGAAACCAGGAAGAGGGCCCAACTTCCCATGGAATTTTCACACATGCAAATAGGGAGAAGCAGGAGGACAGGATTGGTCTACTGGCTGCCGATGTCACAACCAACTTTTCCTAACTGCTGTTCCTAATCAGAGGGGACATGGGGGGTGGAGGCTAGACCAAGCTCCAGGGAAAAAAACCCTCTCCCCCCACATCCTCTATTGGTTTCCCGCCTCCACTGCTTTGGGAGGCCCAGCCTTTTGAGATTAGGCAAGTGGGACCCCCAGGACAGGGCCTTCTCGGTCCTGGCCCCAAAACTCCGGAACCCCTTCCCCCAGGGAGATCTGCCTGCCTCCTCCAGTTGCCGTCTTCCGTCTTCGTCTGGAATCCCCTCAGTGAGCCCTTCTTCCTGCCCGATGCTTTAAATGCTGTTTTTTGTGTCTTTGTGTATCCCTTGTTTTAAGACTGTGTTTTTGTGGTGGTGGTAAAGGTAAAGGTTCCCTTGCTCGAAAGCCAGTCGAGTCCGACTCTAGGGTTGCGGTGCTCATCTCCGTTTCCAAGCCGAAGAGCCAGCGCTGTCCAAAGACGTTTCCGTGGTCATGTGTTCCCTTCCCACTGAAGTGGTACCTATTTATCTACTTGCAATTTCTTGCTTTCGAACTGCTAGGTGGGCAGGAGCTGGAACTAGAGACGGGAGCTCACTCCGTCATGCGGCACACTCGGGTCTCGAACTGCTGAACTACTGACCTTCCACAGCCTGCAGTTCAGCGTCTTAACCACTTGAGCCACCGCAGCTCCTTGTGGTGGTGGTGGAGTTTAAAAATGTGATCTTATTACGTATTTGCAGTTTGTCGGGCCCCGTACAAAACCTTTAAACAAAAGACAATCCGCTTGGACAGCGTCTCTTCGCCTTGTGCCGGTGAAGCACTTGGAGAGGAGTTGGCTGACGGGCGGGCAGGCGAACA